TCAAACTCTGCTCAGACCCTCCTCAGACCTTCAAACTCTTCTCAATCTCTCCTCAAACCCTCCTCAGACCCTGAAACCCTCCACCGACCTTCAGACCCTCAGATCCTCAGACTCTCCTCAAACTCTCCTCAGACCCTCCTCAAACCCTCCTCAGACCCTCCTCAAACCCTCCTCAAACCCTCGTCAGACCCTGAAATCCTCCACCGACCCTCAGACCTTCCTCAGACCCTCCTCAAACTCTCCTCAAACCCTCCTCAGATTCTCCTCAGACCCTGAAACCCTCCTCAAACCCTTCTCTGACCCTCAGATTCTCCTCAGACCTTTAAACCCTGAGACCCTCCTCAGACCCTCCTCAGATTCTCCTCAGACCCTCCTCAGATCCTCTTCAGATTCTCCTCAGACCTTTAAACCCTCCTCAGACTCTCCTCAGACCTTCCTCACACCTCGAGTCCTGGTTCACTTTCGTTTCTTGGGACTAAAACCCTTCGGGAGGATTTTACTGTGAAACTGTTTCACGACTTCGAGACCTTTAAAGTTTCTCTACGTTACCTTCTTTACTGAGGGTCCAACACCTGCTCGTCTCCACGGAAACACTGTCCCCGCAGTGTGGCATTAAACCCGTCTCTACGCTAACAAGTCAGGTCAAGTTACACGTCAGTTTTAGTTCTGTGGAGAGGCGAGCCAAATTTTCTTCAAACAAAAAACAGAAACAAAAGAAAATGTTTAAAGTTTTTGGTGATTTCATTAAAAGTTCAAAGTTTTTCACCTTTGACGTTTTTGTGTCTTTTTCTTTTGTTTTTCTGGTGTCGCCGTAAAAACTCTAATAAAATAAAAAATTAATGGTTTTATTAAAGATAAAAGCAAAAAACTTAAATATAAAAATAAAAGTTGTTATTATAGATCCAGGGGCATCACCGGGATTAGGAAAAATATATATATAATTCAAACATAAAACAAAAATAAATTACGGTAGAAGGGGAGCTTTTTTTAAAAAGTTATTATTATTTATTTTTTTATCTGCAGAGAAGGGTGACAAGATTTTATTTATTTTTTCTACAGGGAGGGTGAGAAGATTTTTTTTTATGAAATTTTTTTTCTTTGTTACAGAGGGAGGTGCAACAAGATTTTTATTTTTTTTGCAAAGAGGTGCGACAAGATTTTGTATTTTTTATTGTTTTCTTTTTTTTTTTTTTTTACAGAGGGAGGAGGGGGGAGTGATAAGATTTTATTTTATTTCATTTTTTAATAATAATATTTTAAAATTACTAATAATAATATGTTTTAATTTTATTAGTAATTAAAAATATTATATTATTAGTATAAAAAAATGAAATAAAATAAAATCTTATCACTCCCCCCTCCTCCCTCTGTAAAAAAACAAAAAAACCCCAAAACAATAAAAAATAAAAAATCTTGTCGCTTGTACACAGAAAATAAATAAATACAAATTATGCATTAAATAACAAACACTAGTGGATGGGGGGAGACAGAGGCGACGCCGGGGGAGGGGGAGGGTCACCAAAGGTCACACACAAACCAAAATCCACATTTACATCAAAGAAAAAAAAAAAAAAAAAAATTGATAAATTATCCAAATCCGAGGTCGTGGTTCTAGGATGGGAAAAGTCGTCTTGTCGTCTCCAGGTGGAGAGTCTCTGCCTCAAGTGGATGAGTTCAAGTGTGTCGGGGTCTTGTTCTCGAGTGAGGGGAGGATGGAGCGTGAGATTGACAGGTGGACAGGTGCAGCGTGGGCAGATTGACAGGTGGACAGGTGCAGCGTGGGCAGATTGACAGGTGGACAGGTGCAGCGTGGGCAGTGATGCGGTCGCTGTGTCGGACCGTTGTGGTGAAGAGGAGCTGAGTCTGGATTTAGCGTCAGTCTCCGTTCCTCCCCTCACCTCTGGTCATGACCCGAAGGACCAGATCCACGATACAAGAGACACAAATGAGTTTCCTCCGCAGGACGTCCGGGCGTCTCCCTTAGAGACAGATAAAATAAGATAATCCTTTATTGTCTCACATGCTTTATCAAAAAACAGGACAACACAACACAAAGCAGCACACAAACAAACACCACAGAACAGAAGAAATAAGTCCACGCCCAAGTGTCCTGGGTCACATTTGAAAAAATCGGATCTGTGTGGTTCAGACTGTCATTAAAAGATCAGATACAGGAACATAGGGGCCAAAAAATCAGATTTGGGTCACTTCAGGCTGCAGTCTGAACGCAGCCTAAGAGACCAAGTGTAGGGCTGGGATCATTAAGAAGTTGCCGATACGATACATGTCTCGATACAGTGAACTTTCGATTCGATATGATATATTTCAAATTGATTCGATATGGTTCAATAAAAAATAAAGTCTAAATCATGGCTGTGATACTAAAAGTCTTTGTTAAATCACTTCTTGTGCAAAGTTCATATGAAACACAAACATTTTAATAATCATAAATGAGTTTCCTTTCACTCCACAAGCCACAAAACTGTAGCTGTAACAAAATAATTTAGTAAAACACACCTAAAAATACTCTTGGTGATATATCGATACAGTAGCCCACGATATCAATACTGTATCATCGCATTAAATGATACGATATATCGATATTCCAATATTTCTGCACACCCCTAACCAAGTGAGAAAACGAGTGATGCACCAACACGACCTTTAAATTATTCTTAACAGGCGAACCCTCTGCATCCTTGTATTCTATTCGTAACTGCACATTCCCTAAGCCTTTTATAATTATTTATTATAGATTGAGGAGCTCGGAGTAGAGTCGCTGCTCCTCCACGTGGAGAGGAGCGTCTGAGGGGAGGACGTCTGTTCTGATGTCTCCTGGACGTGTCCCTCAGGAGGTGTTCATGTCCCACCGGGAGGAGGCCCCGGGGAAGACCCAGGACACACTGGAGGGACGATGTCTCTGGACTGGACTGGGAACACCTCAGGTCCCACTGGAGGAGCTGGAGGAAGTGTCTGGGCTGAAGGAAGTCTGGGAGTCTCTGCTCAGACTGATGCCCCCGAGACCCGACCCCAGAGAAGAGGAAGAAAATGGAATGGAATATATAAATTAAATAGTTAAAAAATGTCCTGGGTTTAAACGCTTTGAAACTGGATGATAAATGGATGTTATTGTTGTTGTTGTTTTTTTTTAACCCTTCATCTTTTACTCATCTTTTAATCATTAATCGTCTTTAATCAAATTTAATTTTCAGAAATGTAAATTCACTGTTCATAAACTCGACTTCCACATTTTCCTGTCAAAAATACCACAGTGTTTAAACCCTCTCCCTCTCCTCGGGGTCACACTGACCCAAAGAAACATTTATTTTTCCTTCCTTTCCTTTTTTCGCCTGGTGAGAAAATAAATGAAAATACATTTCTGGGTCTGACCGACCCGACAGGGCGAGAAAGAAAATAAATGTTTCTTTGGGTCAGTGTGACCCCGAGGAGAGCGAGAGCGTTTAAACAGTGTGGTATTTTTGACAGGAAAATGAGGAAGTCGAGTTTACGAACAGTGAATTTACATTTGTGGAAATAAAATTTGATTAAAGACGATTAATGATTAAAAGACGAGTAAAAGATGAATTATAAAATATTGTTGAACCGGAGCTTCGTTTGAGTGGAGCTGAACTCTGTGGGGACGTCACTCTCTGAACACTTTTATATGGTTTATGTCTAAAACTCAAAACATCTGGAATTTCTAATGTGACTGTGACGTCCTTAATAAAAAATAAAAAAAAAGTTTAAACATGAGTCAAAGGAGGAAACAATTTAAAAGTGTTTAACATAAATAAATAAATAAATAAACAGAGGATCCAATACTTAAAATTTCCATTAAAACTGAAAAAAAAAGAAAATTATTCAACATTTATTATTCAAATATTTTTGTTACTTATTTAGAATTTTATTATTACCATTATATATATATATATATATATATATATATATATATATATATATATATATATATATATATATATATATATATATATACACACACTTTTTTTTTGCACAAATTTGCACTGTTGACACGATGTATTTTGTATTGCCAGCATTGATTAATAATAAAAAAAATTAAAAAATAAAAATAATAACAATAATAATAATAATAATAATAATAATAATAATAATAATAATAAAAACTAGGAAACACCCGGGTTTGGATGGTTGATACGTATAAAATAGTGAAAAAAAAAAAAAAAAAAAAAAAAAAAAAAACGATCTCGCGTCACTACTTTACGACCTTTTACGACGGTGGCGCTGCGTCACGACAAGCGGCGCGGCTTTACGGGTGTTTTGTCTGTTGGCGCCGTTAGCTCGCTGAAGCTAAAGCTAAAAGTGGAGGAAAACTGCGGCGGAAAATGTCGAAAGGCCAAACTCTGCGCGCGCGCGTCAACGAGCGGCTGACTGCGGCCGCCGAGGAGATCTTCGCGCTCGTGGAGAGGACGATCGCGGAGTACGAGGAGGAACTGTGCCGCTCCAAAGAAGAAAACCAGAGGAAACAGCAGCTGCTCGACTCGGTTCTGCCGCCGCGGGACTCGCACGGATCAGGTCGGAACAACGAACACAGAACCCCGAACCTAGAACATAGAACCCAGAACCAGAACCCCGCTCCCTGCTCGGTCCGGTTCGGGTTTGTACAGATCGTTTCCCCGCGGAGCCTCGTGTTAAACCGAAAACGTCAAATTCCAGTGTTGCAAAACAAAGCTCGAGCTGCTAAAGTCACTATTTTGAGATTTAAATCGAGTTCTGATCTTGTTCTCGCCTCAAAAATAGAGTCTTCACATGTCCCTGTTTATTTTTGACCAATCTGATCTAGACCAGGACCAAACCAGGACTAAACCAGGACTAAACCAGGTCTAAACCAGGTCTAAACCAGGTCTAAACCAGGACTACATCAGGACTACATCAGGACTACATCAGGACTAAACCAGGACTAAACCAGGACTAAACCAGGACTAAACCAGAACTAAACCAGAACTAAAATAAGACTAAACCAGGTCTAAACCAGGTCTAAACCAGGTCTAAACCAGGTCTACATCAGGACTACATCAGGACTACATCAGGACTAAACCAGGACTAAACCAGAACTAAAATAAGGCTAAACCAGGACTGTATCAGGTCTAAACAAGGTCTAAACCAGGACTACATCAGGACTACATCAGGACTACATCAGGACTACATCAGGACTACATCAGGACTAAACTAACCAGATGTTTTGGTGTAACTCTCCTGAATTGTACAAGAACATTTGAGAAATTTTAACCCTTGAAAATTTGAAGGACCTTAAATAGTTTTTTAGATACAGAAATCTGAAAGTGGCTCCTCGGAAATCTCTGCTCAAAACAGGTCAGGGCAGAGTCCACAAAATATCTTTTAATGACAAAACTATAAGGAGTTGGGAGATAAAATTTGGGACTTTTCCTGTTGGAAAGTTTGTGAACCTCCTAGAATCTTTTCAGTCAAATCTGAGATGGTCGAATGGAGCATTCGGAGATTTGGCCTGGACTGACCCGGACATAAACTCTCATTTGTTTTGGTAAAATACTTAAAAATCTGCTTAAAAACGATAAAAACACAATGAAATCGCGACTGGACTGACTCATGTTCGTCAGGAATGAACCAAGGGCAAAACTATTTTCTTTATTTACGTTACTTGTTTAAAAGTTTTATTATGACCAACCAGGGATGTAACGGTAGTCAAAATATCGTGATATCGTATCGTCAAAGTTCTCACAATTATATTGTGGACCATCAAAATATATCGAATCACAAGTCTCTTTGATTAAATGAAGAGTTAAAAAGACAGAGGAACTACATTTCCCATGATCCTTTGCTTCATTTCAGTGCAGACGACAAGAAGAAATAACAGTTCTAACACTTTTAACGCTTAGTTCTTTGGATTAAAACTTGTCGAGGCATTTTAAGAGGAAATGGTAAAATATTAAGTTTTGTTTGTTCGCCTCCACAAAATATCGTAATAAATATCGTACCATGAGATGTATATCGTGAAAATATCATACAGAGAGATTTGGATATTGTTACGTCTCTAATCGTGAACTTTTCACAATGTCGCTATAAATCTCGTCCCGCGAGGTTCACACTAGGGCTGGGTATCATTAAGAAGTTGCCGACACGATACATACCTCGATATGCAGGCTGCGATACGATACATACCTCGATACACAGGCCACGATACGATACATACCTCGATACACAGGCCGCGATACGATACATACCTCGATACACAGGCCATGATACGATACATAGGCCACAATACGATACATATCTCGATACACAGGCCACGATACGATACACACCTCGATACATAGTTCATGATACGATACATATCTCAATACACAGGCCGCGATACGATACATACCTCAATACACAGGCCACGATACGATACATTGGCCACAATACGATACATACCTCGATACGCAGGCCGCGATACGATACATACCTCGATACACAGGCTGCGATACGATACATACCTCGATACACAGGCCACGATACGATACATATCTCGATACACAGGCCGCGATACGATACATACCTCGATACACAGGCCACGATACGATACATAGGCCACAATACGATACATACCTCGATACACAGGCCACGATACGATACATAGGCCACAATACGATACATATCTAAATACACAGGCCGCGATACGATACATAGGCCACGATATGATACATATCTCGATACATATGCGACAATACGATAGATATCTCAATACGCAGGCCATGATAGGATACATATCTCGATACAGTGCGCTTTTGATTCGATACGATATATTTCAAATTGATTCGATACGGTTCAATAAATAATAATGTCTAAATTGTGGCTGCGATACTAAAATCTTTGTTAAACCACTTCTTGTGCAAAGTTGATTACTGTATCATCACTTTAAACGATACGATATATCGATATTTCAGTATTTTTGCACATCCCTAGTTCATACTGTGATGATATCGTATCGTGAGACTTGAATATCGTCACAGCCCTATAAAATACAGAAAAGATGCTTAAAAACGACCAAAACACAAAGAAAATGTGACTAAACTGACTCATGTTCGGGTCAAGTGTAAAAAAGTTTTCCTTAATTCCGCACTCGATTCACAATTTTATCATCATCAACCAATAATAATAAATAATAAAATCTGTTCAACTTCCTCAAAATCAGAGCTGGAGTTGTGTTTTGTGTTTGACTAACTCTTTATTATTCATCTGTTTACATCTACAAAGCTCCCAACGCTCTCTTCCACCTTGTGATGTCATGAAGTGGTCGTTTTCAAGTTCACAGCTCCTTTTCCCTTTAGTTCAGTTGAGATCAGTGAAGAAATTCCAGTGAAGGTGTGTGGAGTTTAAAAACACATTGGAGCACTTGCCGTATCACCACATGATGACATCACGAGGTGGGACAGGGGGTTTTCAGTTTGAGAGAAGGTTTTTTTTGTGAGTTAAACACGTGACTGAAACAAAAACAACTCCAGGTGTGACGGGGAAACGACAATAGAACAGATCAGGACACACAGTGATATTTTGGCTCCGCCTCTTTTCTGTTCTGCGGTTCAGAAGATTTTAAAATATTTAATACGTCATTGCTTTGGAATGTTCCACAGTGTGACATTATTAAACAAACCGACTTTACTTTTATTCAATTACAGGTGCAGGTTTTAAAGCTTGAAAAAACAAACAAAAAAAAAACTAGAAAAACAGGCATTTTGAGTATGAGCGGGGTCGCCTCTCCACAGATCTGACCTGTAACTTGGTCCCGGTTTGATCTCCGTGCATAAAAAGGTTTAATGCCGTACTGTGGAACATTCCAGACAAAGTGATAACATCTCCACAGAGAAAAGCCTCCAGCAAAAAAAATTACTCAATGCACCAGAGAGAGACCGACCGCGACTCTCCAGAAGAGGGCGATATTCTGTTTGAGCCGACCAGCAGCCTGAACGTGCAGGAAAAATACCGGCATAAAGCTTTATTTGAAGATTTGGGTGTAAAGAGGGTTTAGCAAAAATGTGACTTCACTGGACTCTTCACTGGCCTCTGAATATGACCACTGGACTTTCACTGGACTCTAAACATGGCCATACTGGGCTCTAAATGTGACTGCACTGGACACTACACTGGACTCTAAACGTGACCACACTGGACACTTCACTGGACTCTAAATGTGACCGCACTGGACACTACACTGGACTCTAAACGTGACCGCACTGGACACTTCACTGGACCCTAAACGTGACCACACTGGACTCTAAATGTGACCACACTGAACACTTCACTGGGCTCTAAATGTGACCACACTGGACACTACACTGGACTCTAAACGTGACCACACTGGACACTTCACTGGACTCTAAACATGACCGCACTGGACTCTAAATGTGACCACACTGAACACTTCACTGGGCTCTAAACGTGACCACACTGGACACTACACTGGACTCTAAACGTGACCACACTGGACACTTCACTGGACTCTAAACGTGACCGCACTGGACTCTAAATGTGACCACACTGGACACTACACTGGACTCTAAATGTGACCGCACTGGACACTACACTAGACTTTAAACGTGACCACACTGGACACTACACTGGACTCTAAATGTGACCGCACTGGACACTTCACTGGACTCTAACCGTGACCACACTGGACACTACACTGGACTCTAACCGTGACCACACTGGACACTACACTGGACTCTAAATGTGACCGCACTGGACACTACACTGGACTCTAAACATGACCGCACTGGACTCTAAATGTGACCGCACTGGACACTTCATTGGACTCTAACCGTGACCACACTGGACTCTAAATATTATAGCACTGGACACTTCACTGGACTGTAAATGTGACCACACTGGACTCTAAATATTAACACTATTTTGGACTCTTCACTGGACACTACACTGAACTCTTGCCGACTCTAAATCCTCTGGGACAGATTCTCTAACTCGTCTCCCGTCTGGTCCCGCAGGCGTCCCGTTCGAGCCGGTCCGCGCCGAGGAGTTCGTCCGGTCCTCGACCCCGGAGGAGGAGCAGAGCCGCCGGCGCGACGAGGACGAGGAGCTGTCCTTCATCCCCGACATCCTGGTCAAGGGCGAGAACGGAGGGAACCTGTCCTCGCTCTTCCAACCGCAAACCGACCACAGGGACGCTCCCGGGACGCACGCCTACGGAGGAGACAAAGCGCAGGGACACGGCTACGGAGGAGACAAAGCACCTGTGACGCACGGATACGGAGAAGATAAAAACCAAGGACACGGATACGGAGGAGACAAAAATCAAGGACACGGATACGGAGACAAAGCACAGGGACATGGCTACGGAGGAGACAAAGCACAGGGACATGGACACGGATACGGAGGAGACAAAGCACCTGTGACGCACGGATACGGAGACAAAGCACAGGGACACGGATACGGAGACAAAAATCAAGTACACGCATACGGAGGAGACAAAACACAGGGATACGGAGACAAAACACAGGGACACGGATACGGAGGAGACAAAACACAGGGTCACGCGTACGGGGACAAAACCCAGGGACACGGATACATAGGAGACAAAACGCAGGGATACGTGGACAAAAACCAGGGTCACGGCTTCAGTGGAGACAAAAACCAGGGTCATGCGTACGCGGACAAGACCCAGGGACATGGATACGGAGGAGATAAAACGCAGGGTCACGGATACGGAGACAAAAACCAGGGTCACGGATACGGAGGGGACAAAGCGCAGGGTCACGGCTGCGAAGAGGAAGCGGAGGGACACGGGTACGGACACGGACACGAGGAGGACCACTTCAAACACTTCGAGGAGTCGGACAAAGTGGAGCAGGTGGACTCGGACTCGGAGAGCGACGAGGACTGGGAGCCTCCGGGCGGCAGCCGAGTCGCCAAGAGGATGAGGACGGACCGGGAAAACTACGACCACAAAGACGACTCCCTGGAGATGATGCTCAACGAGAGTTTCTCCGACCACGACATCGAGAACAAAATGCAGATCCACGAGTGCCTGGCGTGCGGCGAGACGTTCGAGCGCAGCGGCGAGCTCCAGAAGCACATGGCGTCGCACGTGGGCTTCAACTGCCCCGTGTGCGGGAAGGACTTCACGCGGGAACACGAGTTTAAGACGCACTTGGCCGTCCACACCGGGAACACGCCGTTCGGGTGTTCGGAGTGCGAGGCGCAGTTCGCTGTCCAGGATCATTTGGACCGTCACATGAAAATCCACCTGACGCAGACGCCGTTCAGCTGCCCCGTCTGCAAGAAGTCGTTCACGAGGAAGTACCGGCTGCGCTCGCACATGTCCTCGCACACCGGGGAGAAGCCGTTCAGCTGCCCCGTGTGCGCCCGCGGATTCACCCGCAAGGACAACCTGGGCGCCCACATGGCCACGCACACGGGGCAGAAGCCGTTCATCTGCGCCATCTGCAACAAGTGCTTCATGAGGAAAGACCGGCTGACGGCGCACATGAGCTCCCACACCGGCGAGCACTTCTGCCTCAAGAAGAAGAACTAGACACGCCGACCCTTTAAAAGTCCACCCCCCACCCCCCTGCGCTGCGAACAGGAAGTGCTCCGGTGTCATCTAGAGATCTCTCCCGGGGCCCTAGTCAAACCCTCTTTACAGTTAGAAGTGCGAGTTTGTACGAGGCTCCGCCCACCTGCTCCCACACGACAAGTCTCCATAAAAACACAGAAACACAAGTGCTGTATTTTTCAGATTCTAAGGCGCGTTAAGAGAAAAAAAAAACAGATCAGTCAAATTTGATTAAACTCATTCATAAAAACTCAAAACATTGTTCAGTTTTAAAACATAAAAAACAAAACACGACGTTCATTGTTCTTCCTCAGATCCATCAAACCCTTCATCTTCTGTGTCTGAGGTTAACAGTTTGGCAATTTCCGATCTGTTTCAGTCCTGGTTTAGACCTGGTTTAGACCTGGTTTAGATCTGGTTTAGACCTGGTTTAGACCTGGTTTAGACCTGGTTTAGACCTGGTTTAGACCATGTTTAGACCATGTTTAGACCTGGTTTAGATCATGTTTAGATCATGTTTAGATCATGTTTAGATCATGTTTAGACCACGTTTAGACCATGTTTAGTCCTGGTTTAGACCTGGTTTAGACCACGTTTAGATCTGGTTTAGACCTGGTTTAGATCTGGTTTAGACCTGGTTTAGACCACGTTTAGACCTGGTTTAGACCACGTTTAGACCTGGTTTAGACCATGTTTAGACCTGGTTTAGACCACGTTTAGACCTGGTTTAGATCTGGTTTAGACCTGGTTTAGACCTGGTTTAGACTTGGTTTAGACCATGTTTAGACCTGGTTTAGACCACGTTTAGATCTGGTTTAGACCTGGTTTAGACCTGGTTTAGACCCGTTTAGACCTGGTTTAGACCTGGTTTAGACCTGGTTTAGACCTGGTTTAGACCTGGTTTAGACCTGGTTTAGACCACATTTGGATCTGATTTAGACCACGTTTAGACCTTGAGACCACTTGAGTCATACTAAAACATTCGGACAGATTTTTGAGCACTTTGTATCTCATAAAATCAGTTTGAGGTCAGTAACACCAGAATTAAAATATGAGGCACAAAAAAGTTGATTTTTGATAAAATTAAAGGATTTTCCGTGCGCCTTATTGTCTGAAAAATCCAGTCGTTTCATGAGCAGTTTTCGTGACCTGTGAGCAAAGGAATGTCTCGTGTTGATACGTTATTTTGGGCAAATCCGTATTTTTCCAAACAATAAAACATAATCTAAAGATATAATCTCAAGTTAAGTATTAGTGGATAATCCCCTCGTCTTTAAAGAAGCTGCTCAAACTGTAGCTTTTTGTATTAAACATTTAAAGGACCTAAACCTCACTTTTTGCCTCACGCCTCCTCCTCTTTCCACGCGATTCTCCGTCGATAAACTCTGATTGGACGAGTATTTTTAATGATTCTCATCCAGCGTAACTTCAGTCAGTTTTTTTATTGATTTATTTTGCGTTTCCACTCGAGCGTTTGATGTAAAACCCAATTTCCTGAACTCGCTGAAATAAACGGCGCTTCTGGGCCTTCGGTAACGAGCGTAGTTTTAAATCAATGCGTTTTTGTATCCGTACTTTGATACTTGAGGGGGCTCTGCGCGTCTATATCTGCGGCGGAATGTTCAGCATGTTACCACGGCGATGCAGCAACAGCAAATGCGACTGGACCGAGAAGTTTTTTTTTTTTTTTTTTTAAAGACAAGTCTGAAAACTCAATAAAGTGATTTGAAAAGTGCGTTTTCGTTTCCCGTGATCAGTCCGAACAAACGGTTTCAGATGGAGCAGTGCCTCCAGTTAGCGGAGAGAGAGAGAAAGAGATAAATCATGGCGTCGACAGAGAATTTTATAGTGTTTCTTTACAGTATTTTCCATTTTTGCGTTTATTTTATTTATTTATTTTTTTTCAGTTTTTCGCGCTTGCCAACGTAGCGGGGGCGGGTTCATATTTAACTGCGAATCACCGGGTTTAAAGCTCACCGCATCGCTTTTCCGGTGGATCCTCGTTTCCGTGGAGACGTCGTCGTCGCCGCTGCTGCTCAAGTTTTTTTTTTTTTTTTTTAAAGCAATAAAAACACCCGCAACGAAAATAAATGCGACGAGACAGATAAATTTAACGCCGCTGTGCTGCGTTTCAAGCGAAGCAGTAACGTCTCCATGGAAACGACCACCAGAAAAGTTCCACAATGCAGCTTTCGAGACGCTTCTAGAAATAATATGGGTCATTTTTGTATTAGTATTATGATTATTTTGCGTAGTATTAAAGCGGGGGTAGTGTTAAAGTAGTATTAAAGCGCTTTCTCTCGTCGTTCCGCGTCAAAAATCCCTGCCTGAAGACGTTCGAGAGTCGTCCGTGCGTGTCTGAGTCATCTAGTGATCTCTCCCGGTACGACAAGCCTCCCACCGCCCACGACAATCCTCCGTAAATACACAAAAACACGACGCGAAAAAAACCTGCACACGGCGACGGGATGAACCGGCTGAGCGTTTCGTTGGTGTTCTGGGATGGCGCTCTGAAGGGGGAGGGACTCAGCGCGGAGAGCAAAGGGCGGGGAGGACGTTCATCTGCTGCTTTAGGCGATTCTAGTATTTTTAAATCGATTAAAAGGAACGTGCTGATCAAAATACGCGACGTGTTACAGTTAAAAACTCCACAAAAAAAAAAGTACCGTTTCTGGCTTTTCTCCCCTCGACCAATACGGAACATTTTAAAGCTTTTCTCAGTTTCTCTGGACCAAAACCACTCTGACGCGCCGGCTCTGCGGAGCGGCGTCTCTCTGCTGGAGGCGTTTGAATTTATACGCCTGTAAAATGTGTTAAACTGTAAATAAATTGTGTTTTGTTTTGTTTTGTTTTTTATTTCTTCATTTTGAGAATTTTTCTGTTTCTGGTTTGAGATATTTTATTGTCGACAACAAACGTCCTGGAGTGTGATTTTTAAAAACTTTAAATAAAAGGCTAAAAAAATAAAAAATAAATAAAAAATCTGAATTGAAAACAAGTTTGTCGTCGTTTGAGTCTCTGCTGGAGCCGGTTTGATTCATTTTAATTCATTTGTGAATCAGTAAAGTCTAAATAAATTTAAGTTTAATCCGACCTGCACTTTATGATTTTAAGAAGAATCACTCATCGAATATTTCTTTTAATAATAATAATAATAATAATAATCCTGCTTTAGTCTAAGTGGATTTTACAGCAGGTTCCCGCTCTTTTTGACTGTCAAAATTTCAAAACTTTTCCATGACTTTTTCATGAGCTAAAGTGAATTTTCCATGACTTTCCAGCACCTGCATGTGTCAAACTGATCAGACTTTTATTATTACTCTTTCCTCTCTCCTGATGGTTTGGGATTATAGTTTTTGAACATTTAAAATTCTGTCAGAGTGTTTATTGTCGTCTCTTTAAAAAAAAAAAAAAAACAGACTCATGAGAACTGAACACAACACTGGAGTGAAGGGAAACACAGACTGAAATTCCATGACTTTTCCAAACTTTCATTAGATTTATAAAAGTCCATGACTTTTCCAGGCCTCTCGTCGTCCTGTTTGAGTTTTTTCCTCTGGACTCGGGTCTGGACCTGGAGTCTGAACAGCTGCGGGAGCCGAGTAAGAAGAAGAAGAAGAGGAGGAGGAAGAGGAGGACAGAGAAAGACCTGGTGTAGGTCAGGGGAGGGCGATTATTTTTTCCCTGGGGCCTCATGAGAAACCAAAAATAATGTTTAACTCAGTTCTGCAAAATATAAACTGTATTTGTTTATAAAAAGCAGAAAAACACTAAACCCACTTAGTCTTAGTTTAGTCTTAGATCAGACCTGGTTTAGTTCTGGTTTAGTTCTGGTTTAGTCTTGGTTTAGTTCTGGTTTAGTCCTGGTTTAGTCTTGGTTTAGTTCTGGTTTAGTTCTGGTTTAGTCTTGGTTTAGTTCTGGTTTAGTCTTGGTTTAGTTCTGGTTTAGTTCTGGTTTAGTCCTGGTTCAGTCCTGGTTCAGTCTTGGTTTAGTTCTGGTTTAGTCTTGGTTTAGTTCTGGTTTAGTCTGGTTTAGTCTTGGTTTAGTTTGGTTTAGTTCTGGTTTAGTTTACTGGTTTAGTCTGGTTTAGTCTGGTTTAGTCTTGGTTTAGTTCTGGTTTAGTCTGGTTTAGTCTGGTTTAGTTCTGGTTTAGTCTTGGTTAGTTCTGGTTTAGTCTTGGTTTAGTTTCTGGTTTAGTTCTGGTTTAGTCTTGGTTTAGTTCTGGTTTAGTTCTGGTTTGGTTTAGTCTTGGTTTAGTTCTGGTTTAGTCTGGTTTAGTCTGGTTTAGTTTAGTCCTGGTTTAGTCTTGTTTAGTTCTGGTTTAGTCTTGTTTTAGTTCTGGTTTAGTCTGGTTTAGTCTGGTTTAGTCTTGTTTAGTTGGTTTAGTTCTGGTTTAGTCTGGTTTAGTTCTGGTTTAGTCTGGTTTAGT